CATCTTCTGATTTCGTTTCTAACGCATTAATGTGCACAGCTGCTTAATCTTTCTCATCGCAATCAGCCCGTTCGAGATCGCCGTTCTGACGAGTCCGATGGTAGTCCTTTGTAGAGAAAGGTTTTGAAACAGTTGAGGGGAGTCTAGGGTCTGGATTCGAACATATGGCTTGTAGAGGGATTGGAGAAGATCGAGGTAAGGTTGGGGTTTTATAACTGACGATGAGAGTGGAGAAGACGAAGTAGAAGACCGGTGAAGATCAGTGAGGAGAATAGGAGAAGAGATAGAGGGGGCGGTAAGGGAGGAGGTGGTAGCGGTGACAATGGTGGTCACCACTGTTATCGTCGTCACTTGTGGCTTGTCATCGTCCCCCCTTGTTGAGAGAGAGAGAGAGAGAGAGAGAGAGAGATAGTAATGTATTTTGGAGATTTTTTGTTTAAGGGATTAGGGATTGGGGATTTGAGATCGTGAGAAACAAAATGGGGGAAAGAAATGGGGGAATTCAGATAGAAAGAGCGAAAAAATGAAAAAGAAAAAGAAGAAAATAAGAGGGAAGCTAGGATAGGCAGTGTGAACGATGTCGTTTTATTTATTTTTCGTTAAAATAAATTTAGTTTTTTGTAGTTAATGTTTTTTTTTTTTCATTTTTTTTAGTTACTAAGGTTGAAAATTTATTTGTTTCATTTTTATTTTAATGAAAAAAAATTATTATTATTATTTATTTGGTAGAAGTATGGGTAATTTTCCACTAAAATACAGTTAATTTTTTGTGGTCAATGAAAAATATTTTTCTACGGTCTATTTTTTTTGTTACTAAAAATTAGGAACTAATTTTTTGTGGTAGAGGAGAGGGAGCGACAGTAGTGGTGAAGGTGGTGGATAAAAGGTAATGGTGGTGGTGGTGGGGGCAATAGCGAAGTTGTGGTAGTGGTAGACGAGATGGAGTTGCGGTGGTAGATGAAAGGTAAGGGTAGTAGTAGTGGCAGTAGTAGTGGTAATGGTAGTGGAGTGGTAGCGATGGTCGTAGTAATGGTAGTCGTAAAGGTGGAGTGGCAATAGTGGTAGTAATGGTGGTAGCAGAATAGCATTTGCAGTAGTGGTGAAGGTGGTAAGAGAGAGATGAGTGAGAGATAGATAGATAGAGAAGAGAGAGAGAGAGAGAGATGAGCGAGAAAGATAAATTGGTCGCTAAAAGTGCATTTTCTTGTAGCGGATCGATAAATCGAGAGGGAGCTCGGTAAATAGAGAAGTAGGCAGGGAGAGAGTGAGCAAGGTGAACACAGTGGAGAGAAGAGAAAGAGACAGACAGAGACAGAGACAGGTAGACAGACAGAGAGAATAATGATGAGTAAGAGAGAGATAGAGAGAGAAATAGATAGAGAGAAAGAGAGAAAGAGAGAGAGAGAGAGAGAGAGAGAGAGAGAGAGAGAACATAGATGAGCGAGACAGACAGATAGAGAAATAGAAAAAGGAGAAATGAGCGAGACAGACAAATAGAGAAGAGAGATGAGAGAGATAAAGAGAAGAGATATCGGTGAGAGAGATATAGAGAAGAGAGATGAACGAGAGACATAAAGAGAAATAGAGAGAGAGAGAGAAAGTGATAAGTAAGAGAGATAAAGAGAAATAGAGAGAGAGAGAGAGAGAGAGAGAAAGAGACAGAGAGAAAGGAAGATGAAAAAATGGGTAAAAGGAGAAATGTTATATCAAAAGAGTAAGACGACGTCGTTTTTTTTTTTAATTTTTTTTTGCGACAAAAAAATTCCATTGCATTTATTCTAACCATTTTGTGACTGTATATATATGAAGCTGTCTCAAAACCACAATATTTTTTTTACTTTTTTTTTGCAACGGTATCTATTATAGTCACAAAAAACTCACCTTTTTTTTTTTTTGGCAACTGCAGCTGGTGCCGTCGTAAAAAATCTATTTTTTTGCACAGCAATCTCTGCCGTCGCAAATACTCTTTTTTTTGTGACAGCAATTTCTATCGTCGTAAATACTCTCATTTTTTGCGGCAGCAATTTCTACCGTCGCAAATACTTTATTTTTTCTCGACATCAAGTTGTGCCATCGCAAAAACTCACATTTTTCACGACAGCAAGTTGTGCCGTCGCAAAAACTCACATTTTTTGTGTTAGCAAGTTGTGGCGTCGCAAAAAGTCACTTTTTGAGACGACAAGTGTGTTGTCGCAAATGCTTCCGTCTTTTAAGCCCACTTTTCTTGTAATGATTACATGTCCTTATTTAAGATGCCTTATGGAATAACAAAAGAGATTGACAAGATATAATTAGCATTCCTGTGGGGGTGACACTGATTTGAAGAGGAAGTTACACTTAGTGAAGTGGAAGGAAGCAATAGTGAGCAAAAATCTTGGAAGAGTGGGTATTAGGGACATTAAAGTAGTAAATGATAGTCTATTGGCCAAGTGGTAGTGGAGGTGTGGGGCTGAAGATGATGTACTATGAAAGATTTTGATTTGTAGAAGGTATGGAACTGAAGGTGGGAGATGGTTTCCTTTTCATATGGTTAATTGTAATAGCTCAAGGATCTCGAGTGGTATCTTATCAGTAGCACATTCCAATCCTAGGCTACTAAATTTCTTTATGGAAAATGTTGAAATCGGATGGAGGAGTAGGAGTAGGATTAAATTATGAGAGGATGCTTGGCTGGACAGAATCTATTTGAAGGATAAATATCTTAGACTTTTTAGCATTTCTATTGATGAAAGGGTATCGTTAAAAGAAATGATGGGCAGAAAGGGTAATCATGCTGAATGAATTTTCAATTTTAGAAGATTTTTACTAGTGTGAAAGGAGAAGGATATAAGAATTTTAAAAGAGGAATTAGGCTCTAGACCAAGTCTATGCCTGGAAAACTTGGATAACAATAGATGGAATGCTGATAGTTCTGGTTGTTTCAATATAATGTCAGTTTTCAACTGGTGTGAGCTGATTCATGGATCTCGGAAAAGGTTATCTGGTTTAATTTAGAACAATGCAGCAGCTCCAAAAGCACAGTTCTTTGCTTGGTTGGTATGGAAAGGGAGAATAAAGACAATGGACTTCCTCTATCAGATTGGGGTTGTTGACACAAGAGTGGGATTATTATGTGCTCTTTGTAGAACAGAGGAGGAGGCATTAATTCATATTATGTTACATTGTCATTTAGTGTGGAATATATGGTCTAGCACAATCAATTGGTGCGGAATGCAATGGGCTGCACCTGGTACAGTGGTAGGTCTGCTTCAATGGTGGAGTGGCTGGAAGTTTAAAAAAGGAGAATTACAGATATGAAAAACAATACCAGTAACAATCTTTTGGTCTGTTTGGAAGCACAAAAATGATGTTATTTTCAATGAGGTACAACCCAATAGTGAAGAGCTATGTGAGCTTATCAAGGTTAGGGTGGTCATGTGTTTGAAGTCAAATATAATAGGAAGAGATTATTCTATTAATCAATTTGTTTCAAATTTGCAACAAATCAGGAGATGTATCAAGTGAGGCATGATGAGGATATAGATGGGTATTGGTGTATAAAGTAGAGGAAATGTGTCGCTTTATTGCCGATCTGTTCCTGTGTGTTACTGATTTGTTGCTGGTTTTTGCTCTGGTGGTGGTTTTTTTGTCTGCTTTGGTGGTAGTTTTTTTGTCTGCTTTGTTGCTGATTTTTGTCTGATCTGTTGTTGATCTGTGTGTGTGTCTGTTGTTCTCAGGTTGTTGAAGTATTGGGCTACTGGTGGTGTTTTTGCTTGTTGGTTGCTACTGGTATTGGGCTGCTGGTGGTGGTGGTGGTGGTTGTTAGTTTGTTTTGGAGTTTTTTAGTTTTTTGGGCTTTAGTTTCTCACCAACCCTTTGGCTTGAGCTAACATATGATATGGTGTTTTTCTTGGTACCAACCTAGTTAGGATGAAGAAAAGCTTTGTGATGCTTTCTGCTCTTTACCTTCACTGCTTTATTGATGTTAACCATATGTATATATATTTAATCCTATCAATAAAGTTTTTTTACTGATCAAAAATCAAAATGACTTACAAAATTAATTACAGATAAGACACAAGGGCCTATTCTTTTGTTCTTGTGTGCGATTGATTCTGTGAAACAATTTTGTATTATGTATTTATAGCAAAACTCGATGTATAAAGAGGGTTAAAATTGTAGGGTGATAAAAAGTGGGATTAGGGTCTTTCCAAGTGAAGCCAAATAGTAGAGTAAATGACATTGCCACGCGGGTCTGTGAGGTCGAAAGAAGCCAAAGGCATCTCTCTTAAGCAGTTAAGCACACAGTTGACTTTTTGCAAGCAAATGAGTAAATGCTCTCTTTTCTTTTCTTTCTTTTTGGGATCCAAAATGAGCAATGCTACGTATCATGAAAAAATTTTCATGAAAATGATAATGAAAGATTTATGACTCTTAGATTACACTTAAAATAAAACACCACACACTAATCAAGGTAATCTAAGGATCATAAATTTTTCATGATGAGTTTCATGAAAATTTTTTCATGATCCCTATCTTTTCTCATCCAAAATTGATATCACCCCCCTTTTTACCTCTTCCTCTTCTTTCTTTGGGGTCAGCTTAAAACAAAAACTGTGGTCTCCTCTCTCTCTCTCTCCCTCTCTCCAATCAAGGTAATCTAAGGCCATGTTTGTTTGGATGGACATGAGCTTGGGATTGGACTAATAGTCCAATAAAATTATGAATCCGATGTTTGGTTAAACAATTGAAGTACGGACTAATTATTTTAAAGTTGACTATTAGTTAAGATAGGATACATAATCCAACGGACTCGTAATCCTAGGACTATTAGTCATGGGAATGCTAATCCAGTCCGCCCAAACAAACATGGCCTAAGGGTCATAAATTTTTCATGATGAGTTTCATGAAAATTTTTTCATGATCCCTATCTTTTCTCATCCAAAATTGATATCACCCCCCTTTTTACCTCTTCCTCTTCTTTCTTTGGGGTCAGCTTAAAACAAAAACTGTGGTCTCCTCTCTCTCTCTCTCCCTCTCTCCCTCTCTCTACATGTATATATTGACAAGCCCACAAGCCTTGGACCCCTGTCTTATCATTTCTCCCAAAGAAGAAATCTACAAGTCTTGTAGAGAGAGAGAGAGAGAGTGAGAGATTGAAGGTGTAAGATGGGAAGACCACCTTGCTGTGATAAAGTAGGGGTTAAGAAAGGGCCATGGACTCCAGAAGAAGATATCATCTTGGTGTCTTACATCCAAGAACATGGTCCAGGGAATTGGAGAGCTGTTCCTACTAACACTGGTAAATTTTCTTTTGTTTTCTTGAATTATTTCTTTTTTCTTTTTCTTTTGCGTTTGTTTTTACTGTTTTTGGTTTTGGGGTTGGTTTGATCATTAAAGGTGGTGTATTTAATATCCTGCAGTTCTAGCACCGACTTCTTGAATGAGCAGTCTATAGCTTCAATTTTTTTTATTTTTATTTTTCAAAATTTCACAGTTATGTTCTTCTTTGTTGGTTTTTTTTTTAGGTCTGCTCAGATGCAGCAAAAGTTGCAGGCTCAGATGGACTAATTATCTCCGTCCAGGTATCAAACGTGGTAACTTTACTGATCATGAAGAGAAGACGATAATCCACCTCCAAGCTCTTCTTGGCAACAGGTAAATCACCACCTGTCTCTCTCTCTCTCTCTCTCAGACATGATGTTTAGATTTGAGTCTTATTATGGCGTTATGCACTTTTTTTTTTCTCCTCTATTTTGCTCATACCGATTGTATGAAAGTTTTAAAATCACGATTTCCTGATTTGGGTTGGATCTACATAATTTTCAAATCCCAATATGAAGACTCCTTGTCGTCTAATGGCATGGGTGCAACACAGGTGTTTGCGAGAGTGAGGTTGGAAGTTAACTCTCCTACTGTGTTAATCTAACAATTTAACAATTGACTTTTGATGATAAAAAAAAAAAAAAAAAGTGTAATATTATGTCTCAATTTGTATTGATGAATGTGAGATTTATTTTATTTTTTTGTGTGCCCTAAAAGTTTTATGTCAAAATTTGTTTTTGTTACAGATGGGCTGCAATAGCTTCCTACCTTCCTCAGAGAACAGACAATGATATAAAGAACTATTGGAATACCCATTTGAAGAAAAAACTCAAAAAGCTTCAAGACCATGAAGGTCAAAACCAGGATGAGTTCTCAGCTTCACAGTCAATCTCCAAGGGTCAGTGGGAGAGAAGACTCCAAACCGACATTCACATGGCTAAGCAAGCTCTCTGTGAGGCTTTGTCTCTTGACAAAACGACCAATTTACCTGAATTGAAACCATCCAGTGACAACTACCCTTGTACTAGACCATCCCAATCAACCACCACATATGCGTGGAGCACCGAAAACATAGCTCGATTGCTCCAAAACTGGATGAAAAGTTCACCTAAATCATCCCAAACAAGCTCAGAAACTACTACTCAAAACTCCTTCTATAACCCTCTTGGGACAAATTCTAGCCCTAGTGAGGGGACTGTGACAGACGGTTTTGACTCCCTTTTCAGCTTCCATTCTTCCAATTCTGATGTCTCGCAGTCTATGACTGTGTCAGTGGATGAGACAACAACCAATTTCACACCTGAGACTAGCTTTTTTCAAGATGAGAGCAAGCCAAATTTGGAGACTCAAGTTCCTCTATCTTTGCTTGAGAAATGGTTGTTTGAGGATGGTGCTGCACAAGGGCAAGGTGGTGACCTACTGGACATGTCTCTTGAGGGAAGTGATGAGCTGTTTTGAAAAAGGGTTTCAAATCTTTGGGGTTCTTTGTTTGTTTTATTTTAGAGCGTTTTTAGGGCTTGAACTAATAGGTTTTCTTTTCAATTGAGCAGAAAAAAAGATTTATCTTTCATATATTGGAAGAGAAAAAAAGTGTAAATTACAAGTATATCTCCATATGTACTAGATATATATAGGAATAAAACTCCTTTCATTTTCTTTAGCTCTCTTGTTTTGTATAACTCTGGGTTTCTGAGATTTCGGGATTAGAGTTTATTTTTTCAAGTTCTAAAATCCAAAGAATGAAATGATCCACTTATTTTGCAATGTAGCCATTATGGTTTTAAATATATCGTATTGAATTGTGCCTATCGATACAGATATATCCTGATATTATTTAAAATGAAAATTATGTATTGATTGATTTCCAATATATATCAGTTGGTAGAAATTTATATCGAAACTTGAAATTAAGCTCAACTAACATATCAAAATCACCATAAAACAATAGTCAATTCTTTAACCTATTTCACTACGGCGTATAAATTGATGTGAGCACATTAATAGATAATTTTCAACCACACACCACCGTTATGTGCTTATTAAAAAGAAAATGTGACTCCAAACAACTTATTAAATTTTTTTTGTTAAACCTATCTAAGAGGTTTAATAAAAAATTTGATAAATTATTTAGGTTCCTAACATAAGTCTTATAAAAGGAGGTGATATAAAGAACACTGGTTTGACCTTTCCCATCTTAATCCTTTCCCTTGTCGGCAAGGAAATAGAATTTGCTCAAGTTAGTTGCTTTGTGTGTATTATAAGAATCTTTCAGAGAAGAAAGTCTTCAAATTAATTGATCTCATTAATTAGACATAAGGGAGCCAAACTACCCAGAGTACGCTACTAAATGCAGACAAAATGATGTCATTCTGGGTTTCAATTTCTCCTCTTAACAAAAACTGAAGTTATATGAATTTTTTTTATCTTTATTTTTATTTTTATTTTTATTTTTTTGTTGTTATTATCGACAAAAAGAAAAATTTATTGATAAAATACATACAAAGTATGCTAAAATATATCAATAAAGAGGAACTTGGAGTTAGCTCAAGCTCCAACCTCCTAGTTGGTGAGAGACCAACAAACAGAGTAAAAGCAAAGAAAAAGCAACAGAGCAATAACCAGTTGAGCAACAAACCAGCAAAGCAACCACAAGAGCTATACAACAGGGAAAAACTGGTACCTAACACCAGTCCTCAAGTTGCAGCCACTGTTAAGCAATCCAATCCTACAAAACTCAGCAAATACCAGCAAATACTAGCACACACCAGTCCATGTTGAAGTAGCAATTGAACACATTAGCTGCACATACTAGCCCAGAGATAGTATTTCTGCAACCTCAACTGTTCTCTCTTTAGTTCCCTCATGTAAAAGTATTCAAATCCTACAAAACTCAGCAAAAACCAATAGCAGCACATCAGCAAAACCAGCCACAGAACACACCAGCAGAGATAGATCAATAGCAGCACATCACCACTGCTATAAACACCACATTAAACAATAAAAAAATCGGTTGTGGAGTTTCCAAGTTTAGGGCTTTTCTCCTGCTGGTCTTCATCGAGCTCGTACTCGATCTTGATCTGTTCTCTACCTTAGATCAGAGCATTATCATTCTTCGATTCTCGTCTTCTATCTTCGATCTCTCTACTAATCTCTTTCTCTCTCTAAATACTTTGTTCAGATCTATATGTGTTCGATCATGGAGATGGAATGTGGTTGAGTCTAAAAATTGAGCTTGAACAGAGTTGTGTGAGGAATGGAGAAAGGAGGATAGATTCCGGTATTAAATCAGAGAGGAAGTAAAGGAGGCTGGAGAAAGGAAGCTAATGCAAGATTATTCACGATCTTTGTTGATGATCTACCCAGATCAATGAACTTGAAGATGTTGGGGGAAATATTCAGGAAGTTTGGAGTGGTGAAGGATGTCTACATTCCTCTGAAGAGAAGGAGAGTAACGAACACTAGGTTTGCTTTTGTCCGGTATGATTGTGAAGTGGCAGCAGAAGTAGCAGTGCAGAAGGCTAATGGGATATGGGTGGATGATAAGCAACTAGTAGTGAAGCACACAGACTATGGCAAGAAAGATATGGAAGTCAAAACCCGATATCCTCCTCAAACAAAAGGTTTTCCACATGGTGGAAGGGGTGAGGTGTAAACACCCCATTTTTGACCGACCTTAAGATTCAGACATCACCAGTTGAGCGCTCGGTGATGTTGCATATTGTGCTCGTTCTGAGGTTTCAGAATCTCAGCTGCGAGCCTTGTTTCCGAACTTCGGGGCTCTCTTGTGCTTTGCCTCGATTTGCGAATCAGGTCCTGTTTTCTCTGTTTTCTCTTCCCGAAGGGAGGGAGAGGTCTCATAGACCATCTCTCAGTGGCCGTAGGCTACGTTTCGTAGTCGTAGGCCATTTTTTCCATTCGGAGCCCAGTTACCAGTTTTCGGAGCCGTCGGCCGTGTGCCTCGGTTCGGGACCCGCTGTGGTCATATGCCACTTCCGGTACCTAACAGCCTGTTTTCGGGGCCCCGGACTGCGCGTTTTGGCCCCCCGAACCTTCATTTTACATCCGTCTTGACCCATTTTTGGTAGGGACCCTATTTTCATTACTAGGGAGGTGGTAGGATGGTGGGAGGCCACCTTTTCTCCTGAAAAACCAGTTCTCTCTTTTTCTCTCTCCTAAAGTCGGTTTTTCTGACAAAAAGCTGGTTTTTCTCACTTTTGAGCCACAATTTCTGACTTTTCATACCACCATTGTGTTGTGCTCATCTGGGAGGCCACCAATATGGGTAGGCCGACCAGTATTTCTTTTTGACCCTTTTGAACCTTGCTAAAAAGCTGGTTTTTCTCTCTCTTGGGTCACATTTTCTGATTTTTCACTATACAGCTGTGTTGCACTCATTTGGGAGGCCACTTTTTTGGGGTGGCCGGCCAGAAATTCTTCTTGAACCTTTTGACCCCTGGTCGGCCGACCAGGGGGAGTGGCCGGCCGGCCACTTGAACTGGCCGGCCCGCTTCTTGCTTTTTGCCCTCTCTGAATGCATCACAGTTGTGCCAGCTGTGAGGCAATTGGACCATCCTCCATACACGTGTGTGGAGGATATGTGAAGCCCTTTTGGGATATTTTGGAGCCTCTCCTCTATAAAGGGGAGGCTGATCTTCTTGGGAAGGGTTGAACACCTTTGAAGGCTTACAACTCTCTTTCTCTCTCTCTCTCTCTCTCTATATATCTCTACATTTGAGCCTCCAAACCCTAGTTTTCTTGGACCATTTTGCACTACAATCCTTAGCACCACACCTCCTCCATCCATTCCAGCACTTTGGGACTGATTTGCAAGGGTTGAAGGTTCACCAACTTGGTCCAAAAACTCCAACTTTGCTGCTCTTCAAGGGTAAGCACCTACTTCCCTTAAACTTGCATTTTTTTGCTCCATTGATTAGCCTTACTTGCAAGTATTTCTAGACTTTGTCATAAACTAAACTCTTGAATATTGATTAAGGACACTTTTCCGTTTGAGGTCTCCTACATCCTTGTATGCTTTATCCCTCTTTGTAGGCCTATTTTGCATCATATCTTAGCCCTACTTGTGAGCATTTTTGAGATTTTTCATAAACTTGAAAAAGTTTCCTTTTGAGCTTATAAACATGTTTGTTTAAGATACTTTCTCTGTTTGGGGTCATCTACCCCCTTTCATGCCTTATTTCCTCATGTTTTGAGCTATGCATGTGAGCACTTGCATTGGCCTTGATTTGGCCTTTTAGCCACTGAAATCCAACGGATTTTCAGTGGCTTTGATATGTCTTTGAGCTTCAAAATCATAGAGGGGTGACGCTCTCGTCCCTCATTCTCTTTACTAGCTTTGTTGGCCTCCCAAAGGGACTCTCACTTGCATGTTGTGAAGTCACTTTTTGGGCTCAATTTGGTGAGTTTCAAGGCCTGCCTTAGCTCTGTCCGGAGTCTCTTTGGTCTTATTTTATGTCTATGATGCATGTGTAGAACAATTTCATTCAAGGCCTTTTGAGGGGGCCTTTCATTGTATGCTTTAGTGATCAAATTCAAGCCCTTTTTGGTGAGTTTTAGGGCTGTCATATTTGATTTCCAGAGTTAGTTTCGCTATGCTAAGTGTTCATCATATATATGTTGAGTAACCCCTTGCATGCCCTTTCAAAGGTTTATGTCTATGATGCATGTGTAGAACAATTTCATTCAAGGCCTTTTGAATGGGCCTTTCATTGTATGCTTTAGTGATCAAATTCAAGCCCTTTTTGGTGAGTTTTAGGGCTGTCATATTTGATTTCCAGAGTTAGTTTCGCTATGCTAAGTGTTCATCATATATATGTTGAGTAACCCCTTGCATGCCCTTTCAAAGGAGCTCATCATTTTCGCACATGTTGGCTGCATTTCAGTGGTTATTTGGGCATATTTTGTCATGTTTTATTCACTGTTTTTGGCTAGTTTGATGATTTCTCATACGCTTCATATACATGCCATGTAAACCATGCTTGCTAGCCAAATTTGCATGCTATTTTAGTCTATCATGTTAGCACTTTTTGGCCATGCTTTAAACTAGAAATGTGCATGTTTTGGGACTGCCTTAGCTCTGTCTTTGTACTTCATGGCCAAATAATGCTTGCTTTGCATAGTTATAATTCAATACATGTGCCTAGCTTTGAGTTTCGAGGCTTATTTCATGCATCGGGTGCCATATTTCTATGTTTCGGGACCATTTAGCATCATGTTTTAGTGCTGAAAATTACATGTTTGTATGCCATCTTTCATCTCTTGCCATGCTTTGGTAGAGTGGCATTTTATGCCTTAGGTTCGGTCCTCAGTATGCGTGCACGTATGCACGCATTTCGGTTGTCTCATTTTCATCTAATGGCCACTGATGTGAGTGTGGCTGAGGTCCACTCATGTTGGTGTAAGTCCATCATGCATTGTGTATGCCATTTTAGTCCATAGCCTTTACGTATACTAGGTTGCATGTTAGAGCATTGTGTATGCCATGCTACATCGAGCATTGTGTATGCCTTTTCATAGCATTGCGTATGCTAGGTTGTATGTTAGTCGCATTGTGTATGCCATCTCATTTGCATCGTGTTTGGGATAGAAGTTAGCCCAAGCACGGGAAACGAGGGATGTTTCGTACTCCGAGTGACGGAACGTGCCTCAATTCCCGGTCGCCGACACTCCGAATTACCCATCATGGAGTTTAGGTCTTGTTGTGT